AACATACACTTTAAACATACACTCTAAACATACACTCTAAACATACACTCTAAACATACACTCTAAACATACACTTTAAACATACACTTTAAATTTGTGTAAGCCCTCAGTCGTACAGGGATTAGTCAAAGCAAAGGAAGGTTTCTCACCCATCATCTGTACTTCTTAGCAAGTTTTCCCGACGTTTCGTCCTCAACCTGGGGACTTCTTCAGGGAATGAATTCTCGGACCGTGCGTTGGAGATTTATAACCTATGGGTGTGGTAAGCCACAGCCTAATCCTGATACTAACTCATAAACAATCTCAGGTCTGCTTGATGTAGAAGGGAGCAGGTCTAACGACCCTGCTGAGGCTAACGACCCTAACTCATTAGCATGTCACAGACCTATTGTCTGCTGGGATGCTCAAGTGGAGTGCAGGTCTCACCCCTCCTAACTCATTAGCATGTCACAGACCTATTGTCTGCTGGGATGCTCAAGTGGAGTGCAGGTCTCACCCCTCCTAACTCATTAGCATGTCACAGACCTATTGTCTGCTGGGATGCTCAAGTGGAGTGCAGGTCTCACCCCTCCTAACTCATTAGCATGTCACTGACCTATTGTCTGCTGGGATGCTCAAGTGGAGTGCAGGTCTCACCCCTCCTAACTCATTAGCATGTCACAGACCTATTGTCTGCTGGGATGCTCAAGTGGAGTGCAGGTCTCACCCTCCTAACTCATTAGCATGTCACTGACCTATTGTCTGCTGGGATGCTCAAGTGGAGTGCAGGTCTCACCCCTCCTAACTCATTAGCATGTCACTGACCTATTGTCTGCTGGGATGCTCAAGTGGAGTGCAGGTCTCACCCTCCTAACTCATTAGCATGTCACTGACCTTGTCCCAAGTTAGGGCGTTGTTTTTAGGATGTCGTCATAGATGCGAGGCAAAACAAATCTTAACCCTCCTCCTCTGTTAAGAGAAGGTTTTTGTTTCCTCACAAAAATGGCTTCTTTCACCCCTCTCTCAAACCAATTCTTCTCCCGAGCCAGAATTTTAACCTCTGTGTCATCCACCGTGTGGTTGGAGGCCTTGAGGTGGAGATGAACAGCCGACTGTGGCCCACTAGAGTTTTCTCTACGATGTTGGTAAAGTCGTTTCTGTAGAGTTTGTTTGGTTTCTCCAATATAGTGGTCAGTGCACTCCTCTTCACTACATTTAATTGAATACACCACATTGCTCTGTTTGTGTCTGGGTGTTTTGTCTTTGGGATGCACTAATTTCTGTCTTAACGTGTTGAAAGGTTTGAAATACACAGGGATTTTGTGTTGCCTAAAGATTCTTTGTAGTTTCTCTGTTAGTATCAGGATTAGGGTGTGGCTAACCACACCCATAGGTTATAAATCTCCAACGCGCGGTCCGAGAATTCATTCCCTGAAGAAGTCCCCAGCTTGTTGGTGGTAGCTTGTTGGTGGTAGCTTGTTGGTGGTAGCTTGTTGGTGGTAGCTTGTTGGTGGTAGCTTGTTGGTGGTAGCTTGTAGGTGGTAGCTTGTTGATGGTAGCTTGTTGGTGGTAGCTTGTAGGTGGTAGCTTGTTGGTGGTAGCTTGTTGGTGGTAGCTTGTTGGTGGTAGCTTGTTGGTGGTAGCTTGTTGATGGTAGCTTGTTGGTGGTAGCTTGTAGGTGGTAGCTTGTTGGCGGTAGCTTGTTGGTGGTAGCTTGTTGGTGGTAGCTTGTTGGTGGTAGCTTGTTGGCGGTAGCTTGTTGGTGGTAGCTTGTTGGTGGTAGCTTGTTGGTGGTAGCTTGTTGGTGGTAGCTTGTTGGTGGTAGCTTGTTGGTGGTAGCTTGTTGATGGTAGCTTGTTGGTGGTAGCTTGTTGGTGGTAGCTTGTAGGTGGTAGCTTGTTGGTGGTAGCTTGTTGGTGGTAGCTTGTTGGTGGTAGCTTGTTGGTGGTAGCTTGTTGGTGGTAGCTTGTAGGTGGTAGCTTGTTGGTGGTAGCTTGTTGGTGGTAGCTTGTTGGTGGTAGCTTGTTGGTGGTAGCTTGTAGGTGGTAGCTTGTTGGTGGTAGCTTGTTGGTGGTAGCTTGTTGGTGGTAGCTTGTTGGTGGTAGCTTGTTGGTGGTAGCTTGTAGGTGGTAGCTTGTAGGTGGTAGCTTGTTGGTGGTAGCTTGTTGGTGGTAGCTTGTTGGTGGTAGCTTGTTGGTGGTAGCTTGTTGGTGGTAGCTTGTTGGTGGTAGCTTGTTGGTGGTAGCTTGTTGGTGGTAAGGCGGGTTCAGTCTGGTTCAGTCTGGTTCAGTCTGGTTCAGTCTGGTTCAGTCTGGTTCAGTCTGGTTCAGTCTGCAGTACCGCGAGAATCCCCCGAGCACATGAGTTATTCAGCTACAAGCTAGTAATACCCTATCCAGTTATTATAATAGATCCATGGTGTTGCCCAATGAGGAAGCAGACCATGTTTTGAGCTTCCTGTGGTCAAACCCGCACAGACCATGGGGCCAGATCTGAGGTATTTCAGGCTCTGGAGGAACATGGCGTGGGTTTGGCTGGAGACTGGAGCAGACGGAGGGTTTGGGATCTGAACAGATGGGAAGTGTCGTAGACTTCAGGCAGCGCAATTACTGCACCAAGACTGTGATCTGAGTCCACAATTAATTATACGCTAAGGATCCTCGCGGCTAACAGTGTGTAGCGGGAGAATGAGGCAGACGCCAGGGTTTCGGCGAGCTGGTGTCGTAACGCTGTCTTAAGGTTGCGTTTGTGTCGTTTCAGAGTTATAAGGTAGAATCTGCGGCCGGTTAAACGCTGAAGGAGAATGAGGATTAATGCAAGCTAATTATTGGGTCATGTTTAATCTAATTTATCTGGAATTAAGTCTAGAATCTTAACACTTGTCTACCACACAGTGCTTTTGGGATATCTCTTTTTGCATCACAAATAAAAGGTTTAGGTTTTGTAAAAGTAAAACTGTACAGATGTCGTCTTTGTCGTGTTAGAAAACATGTGAGAAAGATCCCTGTGAGTCACAATGGGACTCTTTGGGCTGAGGGAGGCTGGGCATGTGTTTAAATGCAGTAGTAAGAAACATACAGAGCCATGGGTCCAATGTCAGTATATGTTGGTAAATGTATTTCACATATCTATGGTTACTGTAGTGTGTTTTTTCTTCTAAATTAGCAAAACTATAAATACTAATTTCTGTACTAAAACTGATCCATCAGTCCTGGTTTAGTCCCTGGTTTAGTCCCTGGTTTAGTCCCTGATTTAGTCCCTGATTTAGTCCCTGGTTTAGTCCTGGTTAAATCCAGGTTCAGTCCTGGTTCAGTCCTGGTTTAGACCTGGTTTAGACCAGGTTTAGTCCTGGTTTAGTCCTGGTTCAGTCCTGGTTAAATCCTGGTTTAATCCTGGTTTGGAGCAGAGTTGTGGATGTGTGAAGTGTTTTGGTGTCTCAGGTGTGAAGACTGCAGCTCACACTTCCTCAAATAGATCTATCACTCGGTTGCCGGGCAGGTTGCCGGGCAATAACTGTCTCTGTGGAAAAGGGGCGGGGCTTAAATCTGTCTTAACATATTTATAGAGGGAAGAGGAGTAAAGGTGGCGGACATTAAATGTGTTTTCTGTTTATGTCATATTTACATTTAAATCCAAGATGGCGTGGTCTAATCGGACACAGTATGGTGTGATCTTTGGTAGATTGAACCCCACTCTCCATATAAACATTGGCTGTGTGTCCTTGAGCAAGACACTGAACCCCCTAGTGTCTGAGTGAAAGTGCTTTGGGAGCATTTACAAAAGTAGTGCTGAAAATGGCAAAAGGAATTTGGAGGCAATACTTTAGTTTTAAAGAAGAGAAAGTGGCTCTGGCGGTGATGTCACAGTCTGTGGTGATGTCACAGTCTGTGATGTCACAGTCTGTGGTGATGTCACATTCTGTCTTGAGAATTGTTTTGCAGTGCCTTAACTTCTCTTTTAATGTATTTATTGTCTTGTTTTTAACTTTTGCATCTTTTAATTCTAACCTATGTATGTATCTTTGTATGATTGCGAGCAAGGGACCAGTGCACAATTTCCTTCGGGATCAATAAAGTATCTATCTAATTGTTAAAGAACTAAAAGATGATTCTTAAATAGTCACGTTCCTAATGTTTCACCGTTTATTCAAAAAGTCCAGAATTAATCTGCAGAACGGTTTATCCATTTTAAATATTACAACATAAAAGGCTTCTTTAATAGATGCAACAACAGTGAAGACGTTTATCTGATGGTTTTGGATCAGTCTCAGGAACCTTTGGCCCTGATCTAGAGTAGAAGGTCCTGGGTTCGAATCCCGGACGTAACAGGGCCTTTCAGAGTGGAGTTAGCACTGCCTGCGTAGGTTTCCTCCAGGTGCTCACTAGGTTAAATCTTCCAGCTCTGGTCCTGACCCAGAGCATCAACATCTGGAGATGGGTTCCCGCCGCTGTTACTACGGCAACCACTGCTTCGTGAGCCTTAGGGCATCAGGGTCAAATACAGAGGAGGAAGTGCCCTACGGGGATCAATAACGTGCACCTTTATAAAGTGCTATTAAAGAAGCAGTAATAGACATAATCAAAGACAGATACTGAATCTCTGTTTGTGGGTGATTCTTGCGGAGTTTTGTGTTTGTGATCGATGCTTGATTGCTTGACATGACGGAGATCTGCCTCAGATTCACACGTTAGACATGACGGAGATCTGCCTCAGATTCACACGTTAGACATGACGGAGATCTGCCTCAGATTCACACGTTAGACATGACGGAGATCTGCCTCAGATTCACACGTTAGACATGACGGAGATCTGCCTCAGATTCACACGTTAGACATGACGGAGATCTCTGCCTCAGATTCACACGTTAGACATGACGGAGATCTCTGCCTCAGATTCACACGTTAGACATGACGGAGATCTGCCTCAGATTCACACGTTAGACATGACAGAGATCTGCCTCAGATTCACACGTTAGACATGACGGAGATCTGCCTCAGATTCACACATTAGACATGACGGAGATCTGCCTCAGATTCACACGTTAGACATGACGGAGATCTCTGCCTCAGATTCACACATTAGACATGACGGAGATCTGCCTCAGATTCACACGTTAGACATGACGGAGATCTCTGCCTCAGATTCACACGTTAGACATGACGGAGATCTCTGCCTCAGATTCACACGTTAGACATGACGGAGATCTGCCTCAGATTCACACGTTAGACATGACGGAGATCTGCCTCAGATTCACACGTTAGACATGACGGAGATCTGCCTCAGATTCACACGTTAGACATGACGGAGATCTGCCTCAGATTCACACGTTAGACATGACGGAGATCTCTGCCTCAGATTCACACGTTAGACATGACGGAGTTCTGCCTCAGATTCACACGTTAGACATGACGGAGATCTGCCTCAGATTCACACGTTAGACATGACGGAGATCTGCCTCAGATTCACACGTTAGACATGACGGAGATCTGCCTCAGATTCACACGTTAGACATGACGGAGATCTCTGCCTCAGATTCACACGTTAGACATGACGGAGATCTGCCTCAGATTCACACGTTAGACATGACGGAGATCTGCCTCAGATTCACACGTTAGACATGACGGAGATCTGCCTCAGATTCACACGTTAGACATGACGGAGATCTGCCTCAGATTCACACGTTAGACATGACGGAGATCTCTGCCTCAGATTCACACGTTAGACATGACGGAGATCTGCCTCAGATTCACACGTTAGACATGACGGAGATCTGCCTCAGATTCACACGTTAGACATGACGGAGATCTGCCTCAGATTCACACATTAGACATGACGGAGATCTCTGCCTCAGATTCACACGTTAGACATGACGGAGATCTCTGCCTCAGATTCACACGTTAGACATGACGGAGATCTGCCTCAGATTCACACGTTAGACATGACGGAGATCTGCCTCAGATTCACACGTTAGACATGACGGAGATCTCTGCCTCAGATTCACACGTTAGACATGACGGAGATCTCTGCCTCAGATTCACACGTTAGACATGACGGAGATCTGCCTCAGATTCACACGTTAGACATGACGGAGATCTCTGCCTCAGATTCACACGTTAGACATGACGGAGATCTGCCTCAGATTCACACGTTAGACATGACGGAGATCTCTGCCTCAGATTCACACGTTAGACATGACGGAGATCTCTGCCTCAGATTCACACGTTAGACATGACGGAGATCTGCCTCAGATTCACACGTTAGACATGACGGAGATCTGCCTCAGATTCACACGTTAGACATGACGGAGATCTGCCTCAGATTCACACATTAGACATGACGGAGATCTCTGCCTCAGATTCACACGTTAGACATGACGGAGATCTCTGCCTCAGATTCACACGTTAGACATGACGGAGATCTGCCTCAGATTCACACGTTAGACATGACGGAGATCTGCCTCAGATTCACACGTTAGACATGACGGAGATCTCTGCCTCAGATTCACACGTTAGACATGACGGAGATCTCTGCCTCAGATTCACACGTTAGACATGACGGAGATCTGCCTCAGATTCACACGTTAGACATGACGGAGATCTGCCTCAGATTCACACGTTAGACATGACGGAGATCTCTGCCTCAGATTCACACGTTAGACATGACGGAGATCTGCCTCAGATTCACACGTTAGACATGACGGAGATCTGCCTCAGATTCACACGTTAGACATGACGGAGATCTGCCTCAGATTCACACGTTAGACATACGGAGTTCTGCCTCAGATTCACACGTTAGACATGACGGAGATCTCTGCCTCAGATTCACACGTTAGACATGACGGAGATCTGCCTCAGATTCACACGTTAGACATGACGGAGATCTGCCTCAGATTCACACGTTAGACATGACGGAGATCTCTGCCTCAGATTCACACGTTAGACATGACAGAGATCTGCCTCAGAGATTCACACGTTAGACATGACGGAGATCTGCCTCAGATTCACACGTTAGACATGACGGAGATCTGCCTCAGATTCACACGTTAGACATGACGGAGATCTGCCTCAGATTCACACGTTAGACATGACGGAGATCTGCCTCAGATTCACACGTTAGACATGACGGAGATCTCTGCCTCAGATTCACACGTTAGACATGACGGAGATCTCTGCCTCAGATTCACACGTTAGACATGACGGAGATCTCTGCCTCAGATTCACACGTTAGACATGACGGAGATCTCTGCCTCAGATTCACACGTTAGACATGACGGAGATCCTGCCTCAGATTCACACGTTAGACATGACGGAGATCTGCCTCAGATTCACACGTTAGACATGACGGAGATCTGCCTCAGATTCACACGTTAGACATGACGGAGATCTCTGCCTCAGATTCACACGTTAGACATGACGGAGATCTCTGCCTCAGATTCACACGTTAGACATGACGGAGATCTGCCTCAGATTCACACGTTAGACATGACGGAGATCTGCCTCAGATTCACACGTTAGACATGAC